ACCGCTAACATGTCATCGATGTCCATTCTCACACAGAGAAGTAGTCGCAAACCCAGGTGCAGGATTGACTACAAGTGCTACCAGGTGTAGCCGAGCTACTGTAGCAAAGCTACTTATGCACCATGTGCAGAGGAAGACAAGCTTAGAGAACTTCTACGTCTTAGGCTGCTTAACCCTCCTAGGCTAGCTCGTAAGCTTGTGCCTATCGGTATCAACAACCGAGTCTCAGAGAGACTAGTATCAAAGATACAATTCCTATACGGAATCGAACGCTCTAGCAACTAGTGCTATACAGAGCAGGTTTGAAACTGATTTATTTATGTTTATCTTCTAACACTAAAATATAGCAGCATCTACTCTATACTTAGTGCTAGTCACTATTGACTGGCTCTGTAGCCGATTAATATGCAAACATATTAGTCACTATACTTAACTAAGTATAGTGACCACGTGGCTCTCTGCCACGATGTGACCCTTCGTACCTTAGGTACGTTACATCACCTACTTTTGTACCCAAGGTACAGCCACACCACCTTGGTGTGGCAGGTGTATGTAAAATACACACCTTTGTGTAACCCCGTTACATATCTCTGATGACCTAACTCCAATTGTCGCAATATTCTCCAGACAAGTAGAAGTCAAATAGTCGATGATTGTTCTTCTTGCCTACACATCCACATAGTCACAGCCAACTTCATCCGGCTGTTAATTAACTTCTGTGATTGAGACGCACGTTGATGAAGTACTAGCCGCATATAACGTCGTAACGAAGCGCTCAGCAAATAAAAGTTAGCAAATCTGTTCCTTACAAAATGATTGCAACATTTTGTTTTTTTTCCCCGGCTAAAAAGCCTGCAGACTCGAGTCCACGTCAAAAACTGGTGCTTTGTAAGAAGGCAATAACCATATTGACTTTGAATAATGAAGTGGTGGTAGAAAGCTTAAAGTTTAAGCCCAAAAGTACAGCAGTGGAATAAGTTTAGTGTCCATAATCGCTTGCTGAAGTAGAAAGAGCCGTCGAGCAGCTAAATAAAAGAAATATGTGAGCGTGAACGAATCGCAATTCGGTACACGATATTGGACCGCAGGTCGTCCGTCGTACAGGCTTTTGCTGAGATTCGTGAGCAAGCGGTCTTTCGACGATACCTGCGACAATTGGCACGAATGCTCGCAATGGCTTGACCAAGCTGTTGACAAGGTCTAACTCCCCGGGTTCCATCAATCGTCTGCAGTAGTTGTAGTTGGAGCAGCTTTGTCGATTTGTTTGACATAGGATTTGTCGGGTCGAAGAAGGGGTCAGAATGAACTTGCGGTAGTTCTCGTTGACACTAGACAAGATTGCATGCTTTAAGGTCAAGAAGCCATAGCTGTTAGGACGAAACCGCGATTGTGGTCACAGTACTAAGTCAAGCTTTTCACAGCTGGCGAAGTGACACGCAGTGGAAAAAGTGGTTGACCACCCGAAAGCGCTGAGCCTCAACTTGATCGTAATAACTGCGTCTACTCAGCAAATTATTTCTGCGCTTGCGCTAACCAGCACCATGGCATCACTACGTGTGAGGTATGCTTGCTTTGCTTGTATGTATATAGGATTCATGAGCCGTATGCTCGAGGATATCTTACACGAGCACCGTTTTACCTGCAGGTGTTGCGCAAGCAGCCAACAAACAATGCGTGGAAAGCCATGACGTAGTTACATGTAATACCAATGGTGAGGCAATAGATTTAAGAGAATAACGCACGTCTACCACAAAGCCCTACTTTGTGCTATTCGCTTGCAGCCAGTGCTGAGCAATTTCTTCTACCCAATGCTCTTTTTGTTGCGTTACTATCATTGCCGTGTCACTAACCTATCGTTTGCGAGGCGTCGAGCAGTATCACTTTGCGATACCTTCGCCATTCTCATTTAGAAAATGGTGTAACTCTCTTTTTTAAGTTTTTTTAAGGTTTTTATTGTCCAACTCAAGACGGTGCACCTTTAGCTAAATAGTTTAGTGTGGTGTTAAGACCCTCGTTAAAGTCGCTGCAATTTTCATACAAAAGCAAAAAGGAAACGCAGAGATGTAGATAATGTTCATTTCATCTCCGCAAGAAAAACCGCATTAGTTACGTCAAGAAAAGAAAAAACGCCCTTTCCTTGTTGTATATAGCATTTACGTATTGTTTCTCTGCAACGTCACTGGTTGAGTACGCACGTACTGACCAAATTTTCCATACCACCAAGTCGTTGTCCTTTTTCGTAACCTCGTTTTCACATGAGCGGTCTCTCTGTCTCGTATGCGTTTGATAAACGTATTATCGCAGGTACAAAACATTCTTTATTCATTAGTTTAACCATTTATTTACCCCCTGATTCAAGGCTAAGAATCAAGATCAACATATATTGTAATGACATAAAGAAAGCAGCAAGTAGTAAGTCATTGAGTTTGTCAATCGAGAACCTTTTACTTCAACTCTATTTATAGCCCAAAAGCTGTGTCTTACCGATAATACCGACAAAACCAGTAAAACAAATGATCTATTTTTATATCATGCTCTTCTTTATCAGTTTTTTTGTCATCTTTCAAAACGGGTAGGTTTTCTTTCTCTGAACCTCCTCCCCTCCCCCACCACCTGTCGCTGCCACTGTTTTTCTTTTCTTTTTTGTGTATTTATATTCTGCTCATAACCGCAAAAGTCCAGTTGAGAGAGAAAGTCACATTTTTTTGTGATTCCTTTTCAAAAATGGTCGTGACCAATAAAGAAGCTAATCGTAAGCCAAAGCGTGGAAGTTTCATTGGTCTTGGTGGTCTTCTTCCTAAAGTTTCTACTTATCGTAATAAAGAGATTAAGAATAAGAATAATAATAATAAAGAAGGAGAAAGTATTCAACAACAACAAGAAGAAGAAGAAGCTGAAGAAGAACCAGTACAAGATCATCAAGAAGAAGAAGAAGAACAGCTGGATAAAGCAAAAGAACTTCCAGATTTTTCTAGTGAATGTCGCTCCCATGATCACATTATATCAACTCCTTCTGCTGCATCAGTAGCAGCAGCTGCGATACGTCGTCGTGGTATGTCCATTGAACAAACAGCTACATCACTCTATCGTCGTATTAGCGTTCGTCAGAACTCAGCACTTGAATCTATGGAGGGAGCGACAAGTAAATCATCACTTACTGGCAGTATCATAAGCTCTCCATCTTTTCAATTCGAACCGGAGCTTAAATATCGACGTGGGACGTGCGTTGCTACAATTTTTGGGACTGGAATTGTGCTAGACGTACGTATTGAGGATGGGTTTTATGTGATACAGTTAGTACCAAAGAGTATTGCATACTTGCTAGAAGACACAATCATTCGAGAAATTAAAAGTATTGTGGGTGAAAGAGTCAAGACACGATGGGGAATGGCTACAGTTGAACAATATTATATTGATGACGATATGTATAGTATTGCTCTAGACTGGCGTTGGGATGACGAACATGTGTGGCGTATGAAGGCGACGACTAAAAAGTTTGAAAAGATTAATTCACGTGGAACGCTCATTCAGAATACGAAGAACCGTTTGTTTGAAGGTTATAGCTCTCTACGGGAGAGTGTTGGTTCCAAGCTTAATACGACTACCAAAAAGGTGGATAGTTTTTGTTTTATTGCTGCTTGTGAATAGGATATTGATGTAGTACTAGAGATCATTGTAGGGCTGGTTTTTTATGATGTATGTATTGAACTGTGTGTATGTGTCTTGCATTCTGAATGAATCGTGAGATAGCTTTGCAGTTAACACGAAGCATGACGCGCTGACGAATCTGGATAAAGCACAAACACCGTTTGGTGTATGCACGGTGCTGGAGGTACGACCGGACAAGCTCTTTGTGGGTGAGACGCCCTGTGGTGCCACGGCCTACTTGAATGCGGAGTCGGTGCGGATTTTGGGAAGACGGACGCATTTTGCTAGTGGTGACCGTGTTGACACGCCATTTGGGCCTGGGCTTATTGGACACTTTCGCGACGATGACGAGACGTATGCGGTGGAACTAGAAGTATCGCCGCTTGCTGGTCAATCGCCATTGCTGTTCATTAGCGATGTACATGCCGAAAGCAACCTGACGCTTGCGCCGGCGGCTTCTAATACGCGCCTGTCCTCGATCTTGAACCTCACGCGTGCGTCCATGATTAATGCCGGCGAGAGAATGCGCAGCGCGTCTGTTGCTGCTGGTGGCCTTCCCACGCTTCCAGCCAACCTGCCTGCATTGCCGGGCAACCTCCCTACGCTCTCTAGTGTTAAGGCCAAGGTGTCTACCATGGCTACAATTAAGATGACTTCGTACGTTTCACTCATTTGAAGTACTTGGCCGAGCTTTGTACTATGGGTTGACACTTTTATATGTTTTGGGTTACAGGAAAGCCAAATTTCACAAGGATGAGCGTGTGCTGACAATGTTTGGATCTGGATTCATCGTGGAAGCCCGCGCGCAAGAGAAGATTTACCTTGTGAATCTGCGTCGGCTTAAGTTCTCGGGCTACTTTCACGAGTCAAGCCTTGCGCGCTTCCCATACGAGCGCGTCACACACTTTGTGGTTGATGGCCGCACTGTTCCGGCGCCGCCTATTCCAAAGAATGCTAGTGGCTACAAACGTCGCGCTGTGATCACCGCGGCAATCAAGTCGGCTCGAGAAAGCTATGTTGACAAGGGTGACAAGCTTGGGACGCCGATAAATGCCGCAGCGGCCGTTGAAGCAGCAGTCGCCGTTGATACGAGTACTGTCTCGACACCATCTATTGCCATGCCGGTGTCGGTTGCACAATAATGTGGCAAGCCTCTGAAAGACAGCATTAGTTTACTTTAGAGCTAATGTATATGTGGGATAGCTAAATTGACGGCTGTTGTCAGGGCAATAAGTAGCTTCAGCTCACTATCAAATTTGTATAATGGAGCCCTTCGTTTCTGATTTAAATGAAAGTTGTTGGCAGTATATAGGATACTTCGTAGTACAAATACTTGCCTTACAATTAATTAGATCAGCTATTCATTGTAACAATTAATCATATCGCACTCGAACATCCATTACTACTCGTTGATAATATTCCTTTGCTTCATGCCCAGATATCGATGTAGTAATTGTATTACATGGCACCACCTCATCACGATATTGGCCCGAGTTTTTCTTGCAATCATCTAACCTCGAAAAGATGTTGAGCGACGGCTGTGCAGGAGCAATAGCCTTGTTAACGTTCATTGTAAAGGTACCGTGTGTATCCAAATAATCACGTCATACTGCTTGCACCAGGTCTTGTCCTTGCGTTTTTTTGGTATGTGCTCTCCACGTGAAACTGCGCGTCGCAAGGCCCACGGCACTCTCAGCAATACCGCAACTTTCCACGCCCTGGAGAAACATATGGCCATCCTTCATGTCAAAAAACAATTATATGAGGAAAAATCTTTTCGCTTTTTCTTCTCTTTGCACTGCTGCATTACGTCAGCTCGTGCTAGCTCTTCCAGCAGCTCTTTTTTCCAGCCATTCGATGTTCTGTGCGTATCATTAAATACCTGCATTTTCCAGCAAGAGTGTTGCATCATCAATCAACCAAGTCATTGTCAATAGGAAGCTGTACGCAATCCAAGGCATCACCATGCTCTAGTGTGTCTGTATCGAATCATTTCTCTTTTCATCATCTATATGATTGCGTCATTTGCATCAATTGTAACAACAGTTTGGAAGTCGGCATAACATAATATATATATTAATAATGGAAGTATTTCAAAGTTGGGTACTGTACAGCAACCATTACTCAATCGACGTGTTCAATATCTCGCTCTTGACTCATGGGTCGTCTGTATTCATTCATTACAATCGCAGCTATATCTGTGCAACTAGTTTATTTTCATGCATCTTTATCTTTAGCATCAATAGATGTGCATCATCGTGTTAACATGCGCATGATTTATCGTGCTTTCTGGTTCGTCTCTTTAGTTATAATCATACTTTGCCCATAGTAGATCATTTTAACCTGACAGTCCTTCTCTCTCTTACTTTCTCTATCTACTTTGCAGTCCTGCGTGTCAATGGTTTATCGAATCTCCATTACTTGAGATTATGCGCACTGAGGATTATCGCAATATCATTGATTTGACGTGAGCAAAGAATTTTGTTTAATGCTGTTTTGCATAGCGTGTGAATAGAAAAATTATTTTTTCTGACTTGATTCGTAATTTCTGTAGTCTTATTCCTGCTGCAGGGATGAGAGTGAAGAAAGACGGGAAAATCACATGTGAAGGTGGAATGCTGGAGTGTACGGGTCACCGCTGGATGATCTGCGTACTTGATAAGGACCGTGACGACGTGGTTAAGTACCTTGGTACCATTGCGGTGAGTACGTTTTCTCGATGGTTATTCTGTAGCTGAGTGATCTTTAGTATGGAGTGGATGGCGTTGAATGTGTCTTAGTGCATTGAAGGGGACGAGTCTGGCCAGGTGGGTGACTGGTCGACGAAAATGAATAACTGTGTGACGGACAAAGAACGCGTCGTGGTCGAAGAGTGTTTTGAAAATCGGAGCAAGGATCTGCTTGTCAAGGTTTGCATCTTTTTTTGTATTTGTCTTTTAGGTGTTGACGCGACGAAAACGATTTTTGCTGACGCTATTTTTGTTTGTTTCTACAAGCTAATTCAACAGGAACTTTCAGGAAATTTACCGTGGATGCCATACGTAAGTTTTGACTTAACTTTACTTGCTAGCGGGCTTATGCGTATGTTCCATCTTTGTGTGCTGAAGATGCGTGTTGATATAAATTTTACACAGACGCTTGTAAATCAAAAGGCTCTTGGAACGGCAACGGAAGGGATTTCTTTAAACATGCTTAAGACGAGCATTTGTTCAGCATATACAGGCCCAAAGAGCTTTTATCCTGCGGAGTGTGTAAAGTTTGTTGGAGAGCAAAAGCTGTTTGCCGCCGAAGATACCGTCGAGAATAAGGGGGGAAAAGTCTCTGGTGGCTGCTAAAGGGAAGTTCCAAGCTGCCACTTTGCTTGCAGAGAAAGTAGTAGATGCGAAAGCCATGCCTCCTGCACCTGTAGGTGGAGATGGCGACCGTGTTGTGGAAACAGCCCCTGAGCCACTTCGTGTCCGTACTACGACTGGAGTGTCAGATAAGGTGCGGATGGAACTATATTGGCGAGCATTCTGGTGCGTATTCTTTTGCCGATTGTATTTGAAGTATGTGTTACTACTTTCAGCTGATAACTTCTTTTGCAAAGCTCTGGCTGTATGTCATTTATCACGAAATCACTGCTCTCGCTTGTGCGAAATAAAGGGTATATTGTTGACAGCTTAGCTTGACATTTTCTTCTAACTTACCGTGGACAAATGTATTCTCTTGCCAGATTCCAGGAGATCATCGATTTTCACCCAGTGCCCGCTGCTGGCACGTATTATGATGCAGAGGGAAATGTTCACTGTGCTGCTGGTAGGGTAGAATGTGCGGGACACAAGTGGCTAAGCTGCGTTGTCGACGAGTTTCAACAAATGGGAGAGCTAGTGGAATACATCGCTGTGAGACGCCTTTAGGATGCATGCAAGCTTTGTGCATCCTCTGATCGCTAATTTTGTGCTCACACGATTTGTTGGCCAGTGTATGGAAAGCAAAGATAACAAGGGCATGACGTGGAGTTTCGTCATTAACCGATGCTTTAAAAGCGAAGCGCTTACAAAGATGAAAACGTGCTATAAATCGAAGAGTGAGGAATTGCTTCGAAAGGTTTGTCGACAGGTTATGCTGAATTTTTTATGCTATTGGTGGCAGCATATTTACTGCCGGTCATTGTTGATTGATGCAGAATGTGGTGAAGAAGCAAGCTTTACGTATTCCTTGGGTGCCATACGTACGGAGCGTTTGCGTTTGTGCCATATTTTCCGAATTTTAATTTGTGTGGCGTAAATGCAGGTTCTTCTTAATGGGGTGCCGCTAGGTGACGCTAGACACGGTATAGGCTTCCAACAGCTTATGGATGCCGTTTGCAAGGCCTATTCGGGACCACTAAGCGTGCGATGCGTTACTGTATGTGGCAACTTGCTTTTTGCGCTAACTGTAGTTTTTGTTGTATGCAGTTGTGGCCGACGCCGTGCCAACCCAAACGGCTTCGTGATGAGGCCCAATTAATGCCCCCCGGCTGAAGAAGCGGTCAAGCCATGTGTTTCCAAGGAGAAAGACGCTAACGCTGGTGCGCAGTACGAAGATGCACCGGGTATTGGCAAACCACTTTATAGTGAATCGGAGGCCAAAACTGTCACGGAGTTTAAAGCCAAGGTTGTTGGTGACAAACAGGTCGGCGACAAGGAATCTTCAATCACCATTACTGCGGTTATTTTGCCAGGCGTGTGCTTCGTTGCACTTGTTGTCGTCGCATTCCGGTTTACACGCGACCACAAGAAGAATGCCTGAAAGGCGAAAGAGAAACAAAGTGTTGAACTTGCTAGGTAATAAAAGCGTAGGATTGGGAATGTTATCATACTGCTTTGTACAAAGTGATTGTCTTCATCTTTGCTTCAAATGCGTTCGTTAAAAACAGTCGTACCCCAGTGAGCATTCACATAAGTACGCAAGGTTGACTAAACGCCTTCCGCATCGTCGCTATCCTCGCTGCAACCCTTTTGCTTCTTCTCCGTAACCGGAATGCGAGAGGTTTCTTCATCCGAGTCCGACTCAATCTCTGGATTAATATCTTCGTCCGATGATAAGCCGTGCGTGTTACGTGTCATCTCGATACCAGGACTGTCCGTCATCGGTAACTGAGCAACATTACAACGGCACAAGATTATTCATTACGACCATATCAATTGTAATTGACTTGTTCAAACGCACCTGCATAGAGTACGCAAACTGCGAACTATTTTGGGTCGGCCTCCAGATGAAAGTCATAGCAGCTGAAATAGTAAAATTCAGCACAGGCCAGGCCACGAGTTGCATCCACTCCCACTCAACATCCCACTCAAAGACACCTAGCCGACTGCAGACGGCCACAACCGTGAGAATGGTGAAAAATACAATGAAGGCGGCGAGTGACCAGGCCAACCAACAGTACATGCCGAGCTTTGCAAACTGCTTCTGATCCCGCAGATCGCGCAGTATGCGCTCCATGGAGTACTGGATCCACATGATGAACGCGAGGTTACACAGCAACTGAATAAACGACCAAGCTGTTGGCTTTGCACGAAAATCGGCGCCACTGGATGTGCCGCGCGTTACCTCGTCAGCAATACCCGAACTAAAGTATGCCAATGACAAGAAGGTAACCACGCTTACTTCGACTCGGCTCAAGTTGCTTCGAACAATACCATAGCCAAGACACACGATTAGCAGGATAACACGAGCCAGAGTGCGCACAAACGTCTATCAATCATCCCACAAACCGCATCATTCACAAAAATCAGTTCGCCACCCGACTACATTTTCCTTATCAACACCATGCAACTCACATCCAGAATCACTGCAATCAAAAACGTCGTTGGATACGGACAGCACACAGGTTCTCCCGTCTTATTCATCCGATAGAATGCGTAGAACCAAACTGCAGACGCAGCTGTTCCCATGACTAAAATCAGCAAAATACCCCAATGTAGCGACAACAGCTGACGACGGTGTCGGATCAACAAAAAAATAAAAAATGCGTCCAAAGTCAAATACCCAGCAGTTAAGAAGCCGCTGAACGGCAGCATGCCGTACAGTACGGCCGGTAGCAGTCCATATGGATTGCGCACTTCCATGAATCCTACAAACTTGAGCATTTCCGTTGCAGCTTTCTCGTCATCAGCACAGACAAATACCTGCGTATCCGTCCAGCCGCTAGAGTTCACGAGGTGTGACACATTGGCACTAACTAAGGGCGCTGATTCATTGCCTACTAGGAACACAAAACGTTCAACGTCCGACATGCCTTCAAAATTATTCTTTTCCTCTTTAGAGCAAGCTAAAAGCTCAATTTTTCCAGCCACGGCTTCAAACTCCTCGTACGTGTCCACATGATAAAAGAAGACGACAAGTCTCCAGCCAACCATATCATGCGTGACGTTCACACCGTCGATATTAATCTACAGGCAAGAGGCACACAGTAATATTTCAAGTTTAATTATCACCTCTATATGCTTATACAATGCACAATATAGTATCAATCCATACAGTGACTGATGAATTGCCCGAGCGTGCAAGAATTGGGCCTTGATCAGTAGCAAATAGCTTCTCAGCACGCTGAAATGGAGGTATCCAATGGCTACTTTCGATGGGGTAGATAGAGGCAACAGTAAAGCGTAGGCATAGCCCTAATAGTAGCAGCAGCGACAATAGCATTGACGTCATCCGTATTGGTTTCTCCAGTTTAATGAAGGGATGTGGACGCATTGGATTGGTGTAAAACAAATTCATTGTCAGCAATATTTGAATTGGTTGAAAAAGAGATTGAATGATAGTTGAAGACCATCATTCTAGCCGGTTTTCGTAATTGATATGAAGTGACGCTACTATGTCCGGAACCTCTTCCAGAGGTAGTAAAAAATGCAGCCATTTCACGTAGTAAGAACGCTCATGTTACTGCTGCTTCTCTGCATATTTTAATCTTCTTAAAGCCATTATTGCTCGTGTAATACTGTGTTTGGAAAGTAAAGACGGAGTGGAATAACACGTTGAATACAACATGAGCTCAAATAGTGCTTATAACTCCTTTATTTGTGCAACGTTGATCTCGTTTCTAATAGCTGTTGTACGACTTTGGGCCCAGGCAGTCCCACAGACGCAGGATTCATAAAGCTTGATGTGTAGGTCTTCGCAGAAAATGTAGCAGGGTATTTTCTATACACATGCCTGCCACATAATTTTGGTTTATCTATACTTTGGGTAGGAGTTGTACCAACTGTACGATATGCTCACATTGCCCGTGGCCATAGTACTTGATTAAGTACTACAAATTAATATGTGTATATAGTCGGTAGACTACATAGCCAGTTAAAGCACCAAGTGTTTCTATGATAAAACTAGTGCGCATCGATTGATACTGATTTTTGTAAAGTATAGGGTGTATATTAAACGGAAATTTTAAATGATTTATTCGAACTAAGCTTTTATAACTAGATGGAACATCTTTATAAAAGTAGCTTAAAAGGGTTGTTTACCCTGAGACGTAGAAGTTCTCTAAGCTTGTCTTCCTCTGCACATGGTGCATAAGTAGCTTTGCTACAGTAGCTCGGCTACACCTGGTAGCACTTGTAGTCAATCCTGCACCTGGGTTTGCGACTACTTCTCTGTGTGAGAATGGACATCGATGAGATGTTAGCGGTTGGCCTGCCACAGGCACAACAGGAAGGGTTGCAGAAGCTGCTCCCTATCCTTGGCCCTAAGGGCGTGAAGTACCTCATCGCCTAGGGCGAAGAAGAGGTTAACAAGCGTATTCATATGCTTGATGAATATAATAAAGCTCTAGTCGAGCATGTAAAGGCACAGATGCTTTCTTCTGCGCCTTCGCCCATGGCGACTATGGCGCAAGAAGTGGTCCGCAGACCAAAACCCATACAATGGAAGTCGATAAGTTCGACGGCAAAGAAGGTGAAAACCTTATGCTTTGGTTCCGACAGGTTGAGTCGGCTATGTTTATAGCCGACATCACCTATGAACCGTACCGTGTGGGCTTTGTCATGGGCAAGTTAAGTGGCTTAGCCAAACAGTGGGCATTCACATGTGGTGCATCATTGCCAGATGCTTTTCCCACATGGGCCGATCTGAAAGATCAGATGGCCCGGCAGTATGCACCGCCAACCAAGCACACCGTAACCGGTCGCGGCTTTTGACGTGTCGCCAAGGCAAGCGTGAGCTTACGGCATGTGTACAAGAGTTGAGAACTCTCATTGCTGCCATGGTCATAGACCCTATGCCTGAGGCAGTGACCGTCACGGTCTTCATAGAGGGCCTCCATGGTGGCGTTGCCAGAACGGAAGTCTTCCGGGTAAACCCGTCCTCATTCGAGGAAGCTGTTGGAGTGGCATGGAATGCCGATACCAACTTTAAGGCCGCTAGGCCTGCTACTTATAACTACTCGTCTGATGGGTCTGCACCCATGGACTGTAGCCAAGTGGAGAATGAAGAAGCTGAGCATCATGCTGCGGAGCAGCAAATTGTGCGCAGATGTTATATCTGCAAGAGCACAGGCCATTTGATGGCAAAATACCCTGCAAGAAAGGCATAGTTGGCCTCGAAGGGCCGACGCCCCATGGGTAAACCTTCTGGCTTGCCGCGGGGAAACGGCGGAACCCAGTAGGCGCGGGCGCCCTACTGGGGAAGAACTGAGCTCTTTTGAGCCTCTAGGAGGTATAAGTAAACAGGGTACAGCCCCAAAGAGATCCGAACTCTCAAAAACGGAACGAGAATGCAAGCGAGGCTTGCTAGTCGACGAAGGGACGATTAAGGGCTATGATAAGCCATGGACCATTTTGATCGATTCGGGGGCATCGGGCAACTATGTGCGCCGTGCCACCGTGGAAGGTAGTCAGCAGCATGCTGAAGCGCTTGTAGCGTGTGAGAGTGACACAGTCACAGCTCGCTTAGCGACGGGTACGCGTGTTATGGTACCCAAAGTCCCGATGGACTTAAATGTAAAGTTCTTGGACTTTAACAGCGTGGAACGCTGTTTGGTCTTAGACCTGGATGCAAGGTATGACCTCATCCTAGGCATAGCATGGCTAGAACGTCATGAGTCATGGATTGATTGGAGGTCGAAGAGCTTAGGCGCGACGCGCAATGCTCCTGGTGGGGCTATGGAGAGTCATGAATCCACCTCTGCTAGAAAGCAAAAGCGCTTTTAGCGCGGATATTGGACCGAGTCGGTCAATATGTTGGATGTCGGAATATCCGACTTTGTAAACACTGTAAGTGTCGAGGACAATAGTCCTGGGCGAGACCCAATGACTGTCGATAGTGTGGTTGTGAACCCACTAGATGGCACACATGACATGTGTCATGAGAATGATGTTACATCATTAAAAACCGTGAGTGGTGTTGGTGGCTGCAAGCCAAGATGTCAGGACGTGAGTCCAAGTGATATGGGTGACGAGGTACTAACCCTAGAGGGTCGGGTGAAGTCACAAATGGATATTGTCTTTGAGGACAACGAGGTTCATGCACCTAACGACGAATTACTAGCCCAAGAGGGTCGGGTGAAGTCATCAATGGATGTTATCTTTGAGAATAACGAGGTGCAAGCACCTAGTGACGAAGTACTGGCCCAAGAGGGTCGGGTGAAGTCAAAAATGACGGTTGTCTTTGAGGATAACGAGGTGCGAACACATCATGACGAGGCATTGACCCAAGAGGGTGGGGTTCAGTCAGTAAACGAAGTGGTATTCGACCTCGAGGTGTGTACACCTGTGGACTCTGATGCGTCGGATGCTGAGAGCATCATGAGTAGCGATGATAATATCGTGAGAGTGACGGTGATAGCGAACAGCTATATACACTCGTCAATGGTTTGACTGGGGATGTTGAAGAGCCGGTGGATCTTTCAGCAATACCCGCAGTAAGTACTCTGTTAGAGCTGGACGAGTTGTCCTTTGCCGAGTTTGGCATTGCCTTACAGGCAGGCGACATCGCCGAAGTGATCGTTATACGATCTGAGGAGGAGTTGAACTCCTCGCTTCTGGATAAAGCTGTTCTTGAGGATGATACCAAGAAGGCTCTGAATGCGCGCAGTGGCTCGCAGATCCTGAAGGACTCTTTTGATCCTTATTTTTCTTTGTTGAAGGAATATGGAGATGTTGTATCCAGAGAACCTCCTACAAGGTTTTCCCCAGATAGAGGTGTACGTCATGAGATTGAATTGGTTCCAGGAACCACATATTGTGTGACGCGACAGTGGACGCTGCCACGAGAACAATGTGACGTCATTGACGAGTTCTTTCGTGCAAAGCACGCGGCTGGCATGGTGTGTGAGAGTAAGTCTTCTCACTCTACGCCCACGTTTTGTGTGAAAAAGCCTAATGGGAAGTGGCGAATAGTGCATGGTTACAGTAAGCTGAATACAGCCACTATCCCGGCTCAAACACCGATTCCTTGCAAGAATGTTCTTCATAACAATATGATGGTATGTACGATGTACAGTGCCCTCGAATTAGTCGATGAATATTACCAACTGCTCATGCGAGCTAGTGATATCCTGCGGACAGCGGTCAGCACTCCGAGCGGTATGCTCTGGGAGTGGTAGTGATGCCCCAAGGGCTGTCTAACGTACCTGCAACGTTTAATCGTCTATTGACGCAGTTGTTTCGGTCCCATAGGGCGTATGCACCGACATACTTGACAATATATACGTCCATAGTCGAGCCGAAAACGGCAAGACTGTTGTGGAGAACCACATCGAGCACCTGCGAGCTGTGCTCGGTTGCATGAGGATGCATAAGTTATATGCCAATATTGACAAATGCATCTTCGGTGCGGAAGAGATTTCCTTTTTGGGATGCTTCATTGGGAAGCGAGGAATCCGGGCATACCCTGTTAAGGTCAAAGCCATAGTGAATTAGCCGGTTCCGAGGAATCAAAAGGACTTCCGCAAGTGGTTGGGTTTGGCAAGTTACTTGCACAAGTATAGCCACAACTATGCGGAAGTGGCTAGGCCATTGTCCAAATTCCTTAAAAAGGATGTGGAATGGTGTTGGAACACCAAGCACCACGAGGCTTTTGAAGCCATTCAGGAGAGTCTCCTTCAGGCACCAATTCTGGCTCTACCTGATCCTGATCGCCCGTTTAGCGTCGTATGTGACGCTTCGGGCTTTGCCATTGGCAGTGCACTTTTGCAAGTCGACTCTGAGGGTAGAGAACGCGTCATCGCGTTTGAGTCTCGCCAGCTGAAAGCTGCAGAGAAGAACTATCCAGTTCATGACAAGGAGCTACTTGCGATGAAGTATGTCCTTGATAAATTCAGGGTATGCCTGTGGGATCAAAGCCATTTTTGATCTATACCAATCATTCGTAGTTACGCACAGCGACACAGTTGCCTGATCTCTCGAAGAATGGCTCGTTGTCTCTCCTTTTCCGCGGAGTATAGCATTGAGGAGAAGTATAAGCGGGAAACAGAATGTTTTGGCTGACGCGTTATCGCGTAGACCTGACTATAAGCTTGCTCATCTCACTGTTGTGAGTTCGTCGGTAACGGATCGAATCCGTGTTGCGTATACACGTGATGAGGCATGTCTTGTCATTCCTCAAGCGTTAAGTAGCGCAGGGTTTGAAAACGGTAAGGTGAAGCTTTCCCCACGTAATCTTGCATAGCGATTACATCGCAATGCACTGACCGATGGTCTGTTGTACTATAGTACAGGGCCGGATGACCAGCCTCGTATTGTGGTGCCTCATGATGAGGACCTCAAGTATCAGATACTTTGCGAGGCTCATGATACACCCCTAGGTGGTCATTTAGGTCGTGAGAAGACCTACAGCTCGGTGAGCACACATTATTGTTGGACCAAGTTGTACAAATGGGTTGGTACCTACGTACGCACGTGTGAAACGTGTTAAAAGGTGAAACCCTCGCCTAATATGGCTGCGCCTTTGGCGAGTTTGCCTGTACCCTCGTGGTTGTGGCAGTCCATTAGTATGGACTTTTTGTTTGGCCTACCGCGCGATGCGGCAGGCAACACTGGGATTGTGGTCTTTGTAGATCGATTGAGCAAGATGGCTCATCTAGCGGCCGTGCCGGACTCAATTGATGGAGAAGGAACAGCAAAGCTGTTCATAAATCGTTTGTTTAGACAACACGGATTGCTTGTGGCAATCGTCTCGGATAGAGACCCCCGTTTTACGGGTAAGTATTGGACGTCCGTCTTTCAAGTGCTCGGCACTCGACTGGACATGTCCACGGCGGATCATCCGCAGACCGATGGTCAGACTGAACGCGTCGACCGTGTTATTGGCGATATGCTTTGTAGTGTTTGTGCTGAAACACCCAAGCAATGGAGCGCGATGCTCCCTCTCATAGTTTGCGTTGAATAACGCGGTGCATGCCTCGACAGGCTTCACCCCATTCTATGTACATGGTTTGGCTAATACTCGCGTTCCGTTAACGCTACTCCTGCCACTTCAGGGCTTAGTGGGGAGAAATAGCCGAAGGCTTGGCTGATATCAGCCCTATCGCAATTCGCAAGAAGGCGAAAGCGTTCTTTCAAAGCGTTTTGACGCATTACGTCACGTCAAAGACGCTATGGCTGAAAGTCAGGAGTTCAAAAGGAACAAGCAGATGCCTAAGGCAGAAAGAACGAACACGAGCTCAAAGTGGGAGACTTAGCTTTATTAAATGCTAGGAATTTACTTACTTGCGCAGTGTCTGCGGTATATGATACCAAACTACGCCCACGCTTTAGTGGACCTATCAAGGTCATAAGCAAGGAAGGCTTATCCTATACGCTGACCCCAAGACGATGCGAACACACCCTCTGTTCTACGTGGGCTTACTAAAGCCATAAATTAACCCATCCTCGGTGGGCTTCGAGGGGTTGTCCCCATACCCCCGGCCGAAGGAGGCGGGTAGTGCGGCACCGAAGGTGCATATGGACGCTGGAGGTATCAGGAGGTCAAGCTGACACCAAAGCTTGGTTTGATAACGCTCAATCGCCACTAAGCGATCCAAGGTCTCAGAGCGATAAAACTCAAAGGATTGACGGTGTCAATCGACACGGTCATCCAGCGATGACAGGTAAGACGTCGCTGATCCAAGAGCATCACGCTTCAGGATTGTCAGGTGACGCACGATCTCAAAGAGATGAGATGTCAATGGGTCATCGATCTCCTCCGACGCTGATTGATGAAATGGGTCATCAAAAGTTCCACTTGGAGCGTCTCTTGACTCGGCGTCGTCACCGGGTCATACCCAATACTTGGTGAGGTGGAGGGGTTACCCCAGTCGCACGACTTGTGGGAGTATGAGGTACCTCTCGGCAGGATTGCCCTGAAGCCGTTGAAGCTTTTTATTATGACGGTTAGAAGCGACGAAAGCTGTCGTCGGATGCTTCCTAGCACTAGGTGCTGTGGAAGTGGGGTCAGTAAGATGGCTTCGCCTCTGACCTTTAGAAGATTTCAATGTCGTTACATCACACGAGTGAGAGGTACGGGCAACAACTTTAGAATCTTGTCCCCCATAAGCATTTGACCTGTATGTGGAGGTTAATTGACGTTTCGCTTTGAGCTTAGCAAAATAAAAATGTAGACAAAATTCAAACCAGACGTCTTGCGCTTTAGCGCTTAAAAGCAAGTTTGGCAAAATTGAGAGCTTACATGCTCGTTTTACACAACGGGTGAACTGGTGATCATCTTGTGCAGATCTTTCACCTGGTGCAAGCACCACTGGTATGCTGTTTAATGGGTGTACAGGCACCCCACGTGACTGTCGTGAAAGTCTCTCCTGATACGATTTCATCGTAAACTTCTGGAGAGTAAGAAGCCGCTCACGAAGAGCAGCACTATCCGTAACCTCGCAGGCCGTACGGGCATGGGACACAATGATATATTTTTGCATCGATTGCGATAAAGCCCGTCTAGCTTCCTTATTAGGGTCTCGGGGCACGAATCCATAATCACGTCGTAAAAATGTTTGTTTGGGCCGTGCCAAAGCGGCCGCTCGGGCCTCGTCATCAAGTTGACGACGCTGTGCAGCGTCGAGAGGGTTGGTTACCTCTTCGTCTGTACCCTCTCGCGAGGGAAGAGGAGGCGCTTGGCGCAAAGGGGTTGTCTCCCTTAGAGGGGAAGACGCAGAATGGTATCGACGTTCCTCGCTCGGTAAGCGTGATGATCTTGATACTATGACCCAACAAAGACTCGGCCCCGCTACCCCTGAAGGCAACGTCACTGTCATCGCCCCCAAACAGGTCTCGACGCATTGCAGCATCTATGATGCAACAAAAGTAATTTGAACAAATTATTTAAAAGCATGTGTTGTGAACACTGTAATGCTTACCAGTAAGTGCTAGGCACTTAATGCTGTAAAAGCAAGTGTTTGTTGACACTAATGGGTATTAATAATACCAAGTGCTAGGCACTTAACGCTTATAAGCAAGTGTCGTAACACTAAATGCTTTAGCGTGAGTGCAATACACAGGTGCTCAAGGAGCTATTGTCGGAGCACTAAAGCTTTGTTCGCAGGTGCGAGGCACTTATTGCAAGGCAAGCAAAATTAAAAGAAAATAAATTCGATGACTCCCATCATGTTCAAAAATTGGTGGGTACGTCGGGTCCCAAGGATTGGTGGGGGAGGATGTAACGTGGTTTTACAAAGCTGTGTATTTTACATACACCTGCCACACCATTGTGGTGTGGCTGTACCTTGGATACAATAGTAAATTCGATGTGACCGTACCTAAGGTACGAAGGGTCGCATCTTGGCAGAAAGACACGTGGCCAGTATACTTAGTGAAGTATAGTGACTATACATGTTTGCATATTAGTAGATTACAGAGCCAGTAAATAGTGACTAGCACTAAGTATAGGCTTTTATTTAGTGCTAGAAGATAAACATAAATAAATCAGTTTCAAACCTGCTCTGAAAGTTTAAGTGCTTGAGCGTTCTATTCCTTTCTAAGAAATTGTATCTTTAATATTAGTGTCTTGAAGACACGGTTGTTCACAATTAAAAGACATAAGCTTGCGAGCTAGCCTTGGGAGGGTTAATAATTCTAAGACGTATAACCTCTTGGAGCTTGTCTTCCTCTGCACATAGTGCATAAGTAGCTTGGCTACAGTAGCTCAGATACACAAAACACACCATTTGCGCGTCGGGGAAGCGGTTTATCGTTTTCTTTCGCGCGTCAGCGGAGGAATATTAGATGGGCAAGCTTCAAGGCTGCCTTGTCAGATACACGGGTATTTGGTGTGGATGGAAGCGATAAGACCGCATAACTGTGTAGCAAGTGGGAAATGTAAGACAGATATATAATTGTAAGCTAAATATTATTACCTATTGGTCCACAGTCTGGAAAAAAAATTTAATCGACGCGACGGATTTAACATCAATGCATTATACATTGTGTGCTGTGGTTTGTGACTATGTACATTGTGTATAGTGTGATGTGGTTTATGACTGTGCGTACTGCCCATTTTTTCCTCTGTCCTGCTTCCGAGCGTTTTTATCAGGGAATCTTGATGCAATGTGCATAAATTTATGCCTTATACTAGGACTAGGAAGAGAATGTCATAGTCTGGCTAAGAGACTTACACAGCAGCTGAACCCTGCAGTTTTATTTCTTCTGGCGTCTTCTTCTGAACAAAAGACTTTTTCGGGACGTATCTCTTAATGACATCATCAGTCGTCTCCTTTGCGACAGCAGATGCGACTTCATTATCTACGCCATATCTATGTCGAATCGACATCTTGAGTACTCTATGTTGCAACCTCTTATTGAACTCATTCGTGTCGGTGTCAACGAATCCATTATGTTGTATGCATTCATGCGATATTTTTTATGTATCTCTCTTATATTGTCCTTGTTCACCTTCTCTGTCACGAGTTCATAAACGCGGGTGTTCACAAATTCGGCTATTTCTTCAAAATAAACCATCTGGTCCTGCAATAGACACAATACACAACATTGTCAATACGAGGGAAGAACGATCAAGCAGCAGCGTAGGTTCAGTATGAGGGTGGTATACCTGTAGCGATGTCTTGTCTGCGCTCTCGACGTGTTCTGTGTAAAGGTCGTCCATTGTGATCAAAGGGAAGAAGAATTGTGAGCGATACAGGTCACGTGAACGTTATTTCGAATCAGGACCTTTCAATCATTTTAATCACAGAGACTATCATTCACTAACGGTTAAGCCTGGTTTGGGTAGTTATTGATACATAAAACGTTATTATCAAGTCTAAGGAGTAAAAAATATGATACTAATGCTACATAAAGCGTCTCTTTCGTATCGATCTAATCGTGTCTTGCTATATCATTGGCACCAATTGTTTCTTGTATTTCTTGCACTATTAATAATACTGCACAAGGAGTCATTTGTATCTTGTTCGATCCATGAAGTTCATGAGAAGAGTACAGGTTGTAAAGTAGTCGAACGAATGTTTGCAGATGGTTATGGTCCTTGGGGACATCGTGGACGTTCTAGTATTAAAATTGATGTAAATCTACGTTCTTTAAAGGATCATGAAGTGCAGAATGCTATTACTGTACGCAAACTAGGAGATTACTTTGATTTTGGAGTCGTAATAGCGTCTTACTCGACAGAGACGGCACTAATTGCGGGTTTTGACGATCGTACAGCTTGTAGCTGGAATTATTCCAACAAACACAATGTAGAGGGTGTACTACAGGGCAATTTCTATACAATAGCAAGTGATCAAATGTTACAAGTGAATGCAACGTTTTACCCACGAGATCATGGATTACAGACGGTATTAGTGATGACTTGTTGGAAGCAAAAGAATGCAGCATTTGGATATCTTGTTAGTGCCGATGAATTTGTGACATATCCAATGATGGATCCACTGTTACATTTGGATGCAACGATTGGTTTTCAAAATCCATACGGATATTTACCGGGATTATTGTATGGACTGTTCCCGTTCAAGTAAGTGCTCATTCTTTTGAAGCGGTAGATCATGATGATGACTAATTCATCTGGTGATGATGATTGATTATATGTGGTGATGATATTATTATTGTAGTGGCGTTTTATCACTCATGTATATTGTATTGGGAATATACTTTCTGGCTTTGATTACTCGCCATCATCAGAGGGTTGTCGCGGTGCACTATTTCTTGCTTGTGGTGCTGCTACTTGCAACTAGTACGATGGTGGAACATACTTTTGTGAGCATTACTAAGCTGTCAAATTTTCGTGATGTATGCAGGTGAATCGGTAGCATGGTTTGTCACGTACAAGTTGCTGAATGATTCAGGTGTACCAGCATGTTGCCCCTACCCGGACTCGGTGTTGTTTTCCACGTTTATAAAGGTTTTGGCGGGTATGACTGCACGCATTGCTACCACGTTAGTTAGTCTTGGCTACGGGACTTCTCGAATGCAGATTTCCTGGCCCGAGGTTTTTGTGGTTTCTGGATTGGGTATATGCTACTTTGTCTCAGTGGGGGCGTTGGAGGTAAGCCATATTGCTAATCAGTCTGACGGTGATGCTCGACCTCCTGCTATCTGGGAAGCTCTTGTCATTGTGACCAACGCGTGCTTTGGAGGATGGATTTTTGTGTCCCTCGATTTGACACGCAAGAATCTGGTCGCTTTCGGACACGTAAGATTTGGATTGTTAGGGCTCCTTTATTACATGGTCTTTTCAGTGTTCGTTATCCTGACTGACTATGCTTCTGCTGTGTTGCCAGACGGCACCATCGCGAATGCATGAATCGCTTTGTCGGGTTTTGCTCTCGTATGTGATTATCTCCTTTATGCTGATGGCTTTTGAAGGGGCAATGTAAGTCGTAAGCTAACACCTTGTGGTACGAAATGTAGTAACGGAGTTCGACTGACGTTGTGGATACTACAGCTATTCAGGGGTGGTTTGGTTTCCGTGGCAATATATATGGGTTGTTTGGGCGGCTACTCGCCTGCTGTTCTTCGTGATTTTGTTAGTTGGAGTATATCTGTGGCGGCCAATGAAACACAGCCTACTTTACGCACAGATGGATCAGCTCTCCAGTCGCAAGCCAATGATACCTACATCGATCATACGTGGCATCGAGCTGCATCAGCGCGTGTCCTCTGAAGTGGACGATGAAAATTCCGAGCTGATGAAATGCTTGCCATCAAGTACTTGATCGATAAGAATCAAACGTTTTAATACTTCCACTGTCGAATCGCTGTAAAAAGATGTCACAAGATAAGGTTTGGTTGAAAGCCCATCGTTTCGAAAGGGAGATAATCGGGATCAAGTTAAACGAGAGCTGCAGACAAGTAGCTAATATTCTCGTGGATAACCAAAAAGCGGCAACAAGACTGAATACATTCATTCGAGTTTAAAACATTCCTAGCGGGTATCGTTGATACGTGTCCTGAACAAATGAGACGTTGACACTATGGTGTCATTGCACTAAGATATAGGGTGTAACCATGACGTTGTTGAAAGTCAAAGAAGCTATCAACAAAGCTGAATGGAATATCAACTCATTCGACGAGAACGAAAATTACAAGCGCATTCAACGGTTGGCTTTAATCTCCCCATGCACTAAAGATTAAACCTCACCCATTCTATGTGCTTTGCTTTTGCCACTCAACTGTTCAAGAACGCGCTGCCCGGCTCACTAATATATTCAAGTGTTCCCAAAAGTGATGGTGCCCAGAACCAGCTTGCACAGCCTAACTCTTTGACAATCACTCATCGCAATCTGGACTGCAAGAGTTTGGTTGGCTTCAAACTTATGCAGCTCAAGCCATAGCCAAGAAAGTTGTTTCTGCCCGCCAGACTTGTTGTTTTTGGCCACCGCTTGGCTCCGTATGCAAAGATGTAGTTAAGAATCTGCTTTGGTTGCATATGTCCTTCCAAATTTCCTGTCTGCGAAATAAACGAGATGTAGCTGCTGAACAAGCAAACAAACATCAAGACACCAAGCTGTACGATTGACATAGTAGACAGGCACAAAAATCAAGCAAACGTTAGAGTTTCTTGGCAAGTTACACTCTTTCCAACATGCCTTCTTGTTTCCCAAAACACGCTCAGCAAAAATAAGACAGTGGCTCCTGCAAGTACAGCAGCAGCTAAAGCTTGTGCCAAGTTTAACATTGCCGTGACGATCCAGTTCTCAGCTCTACTTGTTGGCCTTGGCAGCCTTGTGGCGAGCGATACGACGGCCAACACCACGGACTTTCTTGGCACGGTTCTTAGCCTCCTTAATCTGCTTGCGCGACGTCTCAACCTTCTCCACAAGACCCTGACGGATCAAACGGTACTTAGGCTCAAAGCGCTTGGCATCATTCACCGTATCATACACTAGACCAAAGCCTGAACTCTTGCCACCACCAAACTGCGTACGGAAACCGTACAGAAACACCGTGTTTGGATCCTTCACCTTGTACATCTGCATAAATAGAAGCAATTTTGTTAGCCTAAAATCCCCGCAAACCATCTGTCAATTAGCTATCTATTAATCTCATTCAGTCAATCAGCTCTTTCTACTCTCTATCACTTGTGCATTGTCATTTTCAAATGCTCCGCTGATAATCTTAACACTTGAATATGTTGGTTTCCTCTCTGATACCAATTTCTTTCTGATGCGTTTTTCATTCCATGACTGATTGACTGAAGGATTGACGGATTGATTAACTGACTGAGTAGATCTCTTAGTGACTGTAAATAGCACACACGATCTCTCTTTCGTATTAATGCATTTGAATACCTTAGCAAGTTTCTCTTGAAGCTCAGCTTTTGGTACATTAGGACGACCTGGATGAATTACTTCTACAACCTAATGATGGCAACATCAAACATCAAAGCAATTGAGATCACACACCGTTTAGATCACATTAACAGATTTGAATAAGAGAGAGACAGAATACCAAATAAACTGTGATCAAAATATACAGTATACGTATGTGTGTACCATTTGACGACGAGCTAATAAGCTGTTACGAAGAAATTTGCGCGTACGCACGGTCACAGGAATCTTATCAGCCATGTTTTAATGGTCTTTAACGTTTCAGTCACAAGAAGTTGGGCAGCGAGTGGGAATGAGAGATGATGACCAGCCAACTTAAGAGGCGAAAACCGTTCTGAGCCAACCAATTCATAGCTGTGAATTTGAACCAATGGTTACTTTAGACGTATCCGTCACTATACAATAGATTATGTATGGTAGGATATGCTAAATAAAGATTCCATATTGAGCATAACACCACACCTGATACTGATATTCATAAGATTTGGTTTAGAAGGTATACAGTATATAGCGGTTATGTGCTTTTAAAGAGATCATGGCTCATAGCAATGATAAGCAGTTGGATCTATATGCAATTAGTAAACTCATTGTCAGCAAATTCTTGCGTCAACATTCCCGTTAACACTTAAAAGTTACAGCTTTAGAAAAGTAAATGGCAATTCAATTTATTCCTCAGCCTCACTACTCATGGCCGTCAAATGCTTAAGCTTTTGGACACGAGCTTCGGCCTTCTTGGCAGCATTATCCGCAAGACGCATCTCCTCAGCCTGCGCCTGCTTGTGCAAGTCATCCAGGATTGACTGCTTATAGTCCTCAAACGTGCCGTCATACACTACAACGCCTTGATCACCACAGACCCATAGCACGCACTCCGTCGACTCAATCAGACGCGCGTCGTGCGTCACAATCACCACGCCACCTTCATACTCGCGAATGGCATCGCACAGCGCGTCAATGGACTCAATGTCCAAATTATTCGTCGGCTCGTCCAAAATCAAAATGTGCGGGCGCATCAAAATCAGCTCAGCAATCACTACACGGGCTTTCTGACCACCTGACAGCAGCCGGTTCTTGATCTCGTGCGCATGGCCTTCAAGACCAACCTTCCCGAGCAGGTTTCTCACCTGCTGGTACGACTGGTCTTGGAACAGGCGGCGCAGGTACTCCACAGGCGTCTCGCCCATCGGCAGCTTGTCCACAAAGTGCTGGTTGTAGATACCTAGCCGGACACGCGGGTTGCGGCGTACCTCGCCCTCCTTCACAGTCACCTCGCCCGTAATCATCTTCAGCAGTGTACTCTTACCCACACCGTTGGGACCCACAATACATACGCGTGATGTCGTGTCAATACCAAAGTCCGTGTTCTTAAACAAGTACGGACCGTCACCATAGCGAAAACTGGCGTCGCGCACCTCAAGAATGGGCGGCGGCACGACCGTAGTTTCGGGAAAGCTAAATTGCACAATGTACTCCTTTGGTCGTTCTAGAAGATCCACAGGGGCTGACGCATCCGCAGCATCGTCAGGCGTTACAGCCTTCTTCTTTATAGCACGAGCGCCTGGCTCACGTTTCTTTTTCACAATCTCAGTAGCCTTCTTGGAGGACTTACCCGAAGCCTTAAGGTTACGAAGCTGCTTCTGCTGTTTCTCCCACGCCTTTTCCATCTGCTTCCGCTTCTGTTTCTCCATCTCACAAAACATATCGTAATTACCCTTGTAGTGCACAATTTTCTTGTTCTCAAGATGCAGCACCTCTGAGCACACGCTGTTCAAAAAGTCAGCGTCGTGAGACACCACAAGCAGCGTTTTCTTCCACTTCTGCAAATAATCGTCGAGCCAAATGACAGCGTTCAAATCCAAGTGGTTTGTCGGTTCATCAAGCATCAGCAGCGTCGGCTCGACATACAAAGCCTTGGCCAGGGAAATCCGCATACGCCAACCACCTGAAAAGTCTTTCGTGACCTTCTCCTGCATCGCTGAGTCAAAACCCAGACCGAAAAGAATGCGGCGTGCGCGAGCTTCTGCAGCAGACGCGTTCATGTGCGACAGCTGCTCATACACCTCGTTCAGCCGGTCGTCCAAAGCCGAGTCCTGCTTGGTTTCCAGCTCGGTAAGAAGGTGCTTCTCTTCCTCCAATAGCGCCCAGCGCTCGGCGTCAGCCATCAGTACAGCGTCTACAGCTCGCGTGTCATCGGCCACGACTTCCTGCTCCACATACAGGCAGTCAATCTTGGGTGGGATTTTAAGCTCCCCGAGCGCAATCATCTTCAAAATTGTGGTTTTACCCTGACCGTTTGGACCCACAAGGCCGTACTTGCCACCAGCATTTATGTGCAGCGACGCGTTATCGTACAACAATTTGTTGTGCGCGTTTATGCTAAAGTTTTCGATATGGATGTCAGTAGCGTTCTCCCAGTTTGAATCCTCCGTGAAGGCCTGCTGCGACACAGAAAACTGCGCGCCGTCCATAGGGTTAGCGGCGCGAAAATACTCTTTCTCACGTTCCTGACGCCCCTGTTCCTCTTTAATGCGCTTGCGCTCCTTATTACTGAGACGTTTACCATCTTTCTCCTTCTTGCTCTTCTTTTCTGTCTTCTCCCCACTTCTTTTCACCTCATCTTCCTCATCTTTTGGATCAAAAAGAAAATTTAATTTCTTCTTTTTCTTCTTCTTCTTGTCCGTCACCTCTGTCTGGTCAATCGGGTCAAAAAAATAAATCCGTCGAGATGATTTTCTTCTTCTTTTTCTTCTCTACAACAAGCTTCAGCTTGATCTCTTTCTCTTTTTCTTTGCCACTTTCAATCTCTTCCGCCTCTTTTTTCTCTATGTCTTCTTTTTCTTCTTCTTCACTCTCACTGTCGTTCATTAGAGCAGCAAAATTCACGACATTCTTCTTCTTCTTACTCCTCTTCTTACTCAAAGTAGAAACCACTTGATCGTATGCATTTTCCTCTTTCTCCTCTTCTACTTCTTCCCCTTGTTCCTCTGCATCTGAGGCCGTACAATGACTCGCCTGCTCTTCCTGAGTCTTCATGCCCTGACGCTGTGCTTTCCGCGTCTTCAGCTTCTTCTTATGCGCTGCCTTCTTATCATTTTCACTTAGTGATACAGGCACCACAAATAACGCTGCCTCTGGGTCAGAATCATCGCCTTGACGACCTCCTTTCTTCTTGCCACGAGCCATGAACGCCACTCTTGGGTGTGTATTTCGATACTAAAACTTAGTAATCCATCATGACTGGACAAGCTCAATAATGACACGAGATGAGGTTTTGATTGGGTAAAATAAAACTGCTAATTTTTAATATGAAAATACGGCTAATAAGGAGACTAAAAATACCTGCTGAGTCTTTATAATGAGGTTATCTACATCAGTTTTGTAAGAAAAAGATTTATTAGCACCACTTAACGCACAATGATTAAAGCGATGATGTAGCCATTTGCTTCAGTGTAGCCACTTCGCTGCAAGTTGAAGTTATATGAACCATTCAGCAATTGACTCTTTCAACTTAAGCAATTATTTGATCGAGTTTAATGCATCAATGACCATCATGCTTCCTTTTTGCCCATTGAAGCGGTACAATCAAGCTATATACCTCAACCAGTGCAGCAAGGGGCTCGTAGCAGCAAGCGCGGCCTACAAGGCGCATAAACCAAATTGCATATAACCTGCTAAGGTACTAAACCTGTTGCCGATTGGGTATGACCAGTAATCAGTTTGTTAGCACACATTCGGAGGAGTCAAAGCAAGTATATGCTATATCGCAAACTCTTTTGAAGTCTTTGAGTCGATGTGCATGGTATCAGCGGACGACTGCTTGTCAAATCTAATCACACAACCAGGTATGGTAAAACTTGAGGTCGTTCTTGCAAAAACATCGAAATTTGTTACGTACGTCTTCTACCTAGCGGACGAAGAAAAGGAATGATGAAGAGGATGACGAACGATCCGTAAGAATGAAGCTTAACGTGAAAACAACTTGTATTCGCAACGACAAAGGAAAGAATGATGCGAGCTACAAAGTCGAGTACGAGAAACAATTTAATTCCTTACAGAGATATCAGCAAGATCCAAAACCATTGATTTTTCGTGACGAGCGACCTGAGGACCCTGGTCTGAGAGTGCAGAATACGTTGTGGCGGGATGAGCATTTGTTGTTAGAGCTTTCGTCCTTGTAAAAAAAGGAAGTGTAAAACTCATACTGGTCTCTTGGAGACGTTGTTGTTTACCAACAAAAAGAAAAGCTTGTAAAGCTAGCCTTGGAAGGTTTAAGAACCGTAAGACGTAAATCTCTTTGAGATTGTCTTAATCTGCACCTAGTGCAAAAGTATCTTCGCTACGGAGGCTCTGCTATTCCTGGTAGCACTTGTAGTCAATCCCGCACGTGGGTCTGCAACTACTTCTCTGTAGAAATGGACATCGAAAAGGTGTTCGTAATTAGCCTGTCACAAGCACAACAGAAAGGGTTGTAAATCTGCTCTCTATCCTTGGCCCAAAGGGCGTGGAAAACCTCATCGCCTATGGCGAAGAAGAGGTTAACAAGCGTATTCGTATGTTTAAAAAGTACAACGACGCCCACGCAATTTGGTGGTGGCAAGAGTTCAGGCTTTGGTCTAGTGTATGATACGGTGAATGATGCCAAGCGCTTTGAGCCTAAGTACCGTTTGATCCGTCAGGGTCTTGTGGAGAAGGTTGAGACGTCGCGCAAGCAGATTAAGGAGGCTAAGAACCGTGCCAAGAAAGTCCGTGGTGTTGGCCGTCGTATCGCTCGCCACAAGGCTGCCAAGGCCAACAAGTAGAGCTGAGAACTGGATCGTCACGGCAATGTTAAACTTGGCACAAGCTTTAGCTGCTGCTGCTACTTGCACGCAGCTCACTGTCTTATTTTTGCTGAGCGTGTTTTGGGAAACAAGAAGGCATGTTGGAAAGAGTGTAACTTGCCAAGAAACTCTAACGTTTGCTTGATTTTTTGTGCCTGTCTACTATGTCAATCGTACAGCTTGGTGTCTTGATGTTTGTTTGCTTGTTCAGCAGCTACATCTCGTTTATTTCGCAGACAGGAAATTTGGAAGGACATATGCAACCAAAGCAGATTCTTAACTACATCTTTGCATACGGAGCCAAGCGGTGGCCAAAAACAACAAGTCTGGCGGGCAGAAACAACTTTCTTGGCTATGGCTTGAGCTGCATAAGTTTGAAGCCAACCAAACTCTTGCAGTCCAGATTGCGATGAGTGATTGTCAAAGAGTTAGGCTGTGCAAGCTGGTTCTGGGCACCATCACTTTTGGGAACACTTGAATATATTAGTGAGCCGGGCAGCGCGTTCTTGAACAGTTGAGTGGCAAAAGCAAAGCACATAGAATGGGTGAGGTTTAATCTTTAGTGCATGGGAGGATTAAAGCCAACCGTTGAATGCGCTTGTAATTTTCGTTCTCGTCGAATGAGTTGATATTCCATTCAGCTTTGTTGATAGCTTCTTTGACTTTCAACAACGTCATGGTTACACCCTATATCTTAGTGCAATGACACCATAGTGTCAACGTCTCATTTGTTCAGGACACGTATCAACGATACCCGCTAGGAATGTTTTAAACTCGAATGAATGTATTCAGTCTTGTTGCCGCTTTTTGGTTATCCACGAGAATATTAGCTACTTGTCTGCAGCTCTCGTTTAACTTGATCCCGATTATCTCCCTTTCGAAACGATGGGCTTTCAACCAAACCTTATCTTGTGACATCTTTTTACAGCGATTCGACAGTGGAAGTATTAAAACGTTTGATTCTTATCGATCAAGTACTTGATGGCAAGCATTTCATCAGCTCGGAATTTTCATCGTCCACTTCAGAGGACACGCGCTGATGCAGCTCGATGCCACGTATGATCGATGTAGGTATCATTGGCTTGCGACTGGAGAGCTGATCCATCTGTGCGTAAAGTAGGCTGTGTTTCATTGGCCGCCACAGATATACTCCAACTAACAAAATCACGAAGAACAGCAGGCGAGTAGCCGCCCAAACAACCCATATATATTGCCACGGAAACCAAACCACCCCTGAATAGCTGTAGTATCCACAACGTCAGTCGAACTCCGTTACTACATTTCGTACCACAAGGTGTTAGCTTACGACTTACATTGCCCCTTCAAAAGCCATCAGCATAAAGGAGATAATCACATACGAGAGCAAAACCCGACAAAGCGATTCATGCATTCGCGATGGTGCCGTCTGGCAACACAGCAGAAGCATAGTCAGTCAGGATAACGAACACTGAAAAGACCATGTAATAAAGGAGCCCTAACAATCCAAATCTTACGTGTCCGAAAGCGACCAGATTCTTGCGTGTCAAATCGAGGGACACAAAAATCCATCCTCCAAAGCACGCGTTGGTCACAATGACAAGAGCTTCCCAGATAGCAGGAGGTCGAGCATCACCGTCAGACTGATTAGCAATATGGCTTACCTCCAACGCCCCCACTGAGACAAAGTAGCATATACCCAATCCAGAAACCACAAAAACCTCGGGCCAGGAAATCTGCATTCGGGAAGTCCCGTAGCCAAGACTAACTAACGTGGTAGCAATGCGTGCAGTCATACCCGCCAAAACCTTTATAAACGTGGAAAACAACACCGAGTCCGGGTAGGGGCAACATGCTGGTACACCTGAATCATTCAGCAACTTGTACGTGACAAACCATGCTACCGATTCACCTGCATACATCACGAAAATTTGACAGCTTAGTAATGCTCACAAAAGTATGTTCCACCATCGTACTAGTTGCAAGTAGCAGCACCACAAGCAAGAAATAGTGCACCGCGACAACCCTCTGACGATGGCGAGTAATCAAAGCCAGAAAGTATATTACCAATACAATATACATGAGTGATAAAACGCCACTACAATAATAATATCATCACCACATATAATCAATCATCATCACCAGATAAATTAGTCATCATCATGATCTACCGCTTCAAAAGAATGAGCACTTACTTGAACGGGAACAGTCCATACAATAATCCCGGTAAATATCCGTATGGATTTTGAAAACCAATCGTTGCATCCAAATGTAACAGTGGATCCATCATTGGATATGTCACAAATTCATCGGCACTAACAAGATATCCAAATGCTGCATTCTTTTGCTTCCAACAAGTCATCACTAATACCGTCTGTAATCCATGATCTCGTGGGTAAAACGTTGCATTCACTTGTAACATTTGATCACTTGCTATTGTATAGAAATTGCCCTGTAGTACACCCTCTACATTGTGTTTGTTGGAATAATTCCAGCTACAAGCTGTACGATCGTCAAAACCCGCAATTAGTGCCGTCTCTGTCGAGTAAGACGCTATTACGACTCCAAAATCAAAGTAATCTCCTAGTTTGCGTACAGTAATAGCATTCTGCACTTCATGATCCTTTAAAGAACGTAGATTTACATCAATTTTAATACTAGAACGTCCACGATGTCCCCAAGGACCATAACCATCTGCAAACATTCGTTCGACTACTTTACAACCTGTACTCTTCTCATGAACTTCATGGATCGAACAAGATACAAATGACTCCTTGTGCAGTATTATTAATAGTGCAAGAAATACAAGAAACAATTGGTGCCAATGATATAGCAAGACACGATTAGATCGATACGAAAGAGACGCTTTATGTAGCATTAGTATCATATTTTTTACTCCTTAGACTTGATAATAACGTTTTATGTATCAATAACTACCCAAACCAGGCTTAACCGTTAGTGAATGATAGTCTCTGTGATTAAAATGATTGAAAGGTCCTGATTCGAAATAACGTTCACGTGACCTGTATCGCTCACAATTCTTCTTCCCTTTGATCACAATGGACGACCTTTACACGGAACACGTCGAGAGCGCAGACAAGACATCGCTACAGGTATACCACCCTCATACTGAACCTACGCTGCTGCTTGATCGTTCTTCCCTCGTATTGACAATGTTGTGTATTGTGTCTATTGCAGGACCAGATGGTTCATTTTGAAGAAATAGCCGAATTTGTGAACACCCGCGTTTATGAACTCGTGACAGAGAAGGTGAACAAGGACAATATAAGAGAGATACATAAAAAATATCGCATGAATGCATACAACATAATGGTTGACACCGACACGAATGAGTTCAATAAGAGGTTGCAATATATAGTACTTAGG